ATGCCTGCTACAGACCTCTCCGCACGCCTGTCAAAGACGCCCATCCTGCCCCATCTGCCTTCCTACACCTGTTATAAGCTTCTTACGCCCTCCCGCCGGTCCCCCTGGGCGCCGTTAACTTCCCGGCAACGATTATGGGCCGTTTGGGAACCGCCGTACGTTGGCCGGTGGTAGACAGGACCGACCAAAACCTAGCCTAGGGTGGCGGTGTCTATGGGCGTGGGTAGGGCGTGAGGAAGGAAAAGTAGCCAATAGATCTGGGAATTCCTAAGGGAATGGAGGAAGTTCTTGTCATAGCACCCCGGTATTGCTGTCTGGGAAGTGTGTGTGTTTGTTTTTGTATATTGTTTGTGTGGTTTGTCCTGTCATGTGTGCGTATGTGTTTGTATGCCCCATGTGGATATGTGATTTGTTTAGCCTACGTGTACTTTGTGTTGTGTATTTGATGTGTGCGTTACTGCTGTTCGAATATGAATTCGGCGAAAACCAGTGTTGTTATAATCGTTCTGTAGTGCCATGCAATTGGCTAACACACCAACACAACAAACACAAACAACAACCAAACACCTCACACGACCAACACATACCAAAATACCACAACAAACCAAATAAACCACGTACAAACAAAACAACATTACCACACACTACTAGTGTATGTGTCGTTCTATAAATGTTGAGATGTGTGCCATTTGTGTTTGTTTGTTGTATGTGTGTGTTTTTTGTGTGTTTGTGTGACATCTTCTCTTGTGTCAATGTTCTGTGTGCAGGACAAGAACTATCCTCCGATTACCTGTACACTGTCACGATTGCGTATTGTGCAGCACTACAGTACGCGTACATTAACTCATATGCGCTGTCTGTGATACATCTCCGTACGCTATGACTCGCATGATATGCTGTACATGGTGTTCAAAGCACTCCACCTACTCATCCAACACCAAACAAATCTATCAATTCCATATAAGCGCCGAACTAATATATAACCGTCCATGCCCGACGCTCTGTGTAACATTACAGCTGTATGTATGACTCCCTATAGTACTGTCGTATGTAGTGTTCCAACGTCCACCTACAACTCTTCCACCCAGCAAGCGTCAGCATGCCAGCCAAAAACCCCCCGTCATTCTATAAGCAATAAAATTTTTACACCTTCTCTCCCTGCTGTTTCGCTTCCATACACGTCCTTCTGTGCCAATACGATAAAAAAATGATTATAACAACCCCAGCGCTTTTGCAAAAGTAATAAGCCAACATTACGACCTGTTCTTTCCTCCCTTGTCTCTTTTTTTCTCTCCCTTTTTTATTCTAAGAACAATAAAATTTTATGCGTGCAGAGGTGTGGTTTCGAACCTTTTTATACTTCTTTAAATACTAGTTAAAGGCTTTAGTTCTCTTCTAGCGCACGCGAGGTGTATAAGAAGGGGGGTAAAAACGATGCTTTTTTCGGCTTCAGAGACGGCCAGGTGAGGCAGGTGGTTCTGTCGCTATGGGGCGAGCTCTGGCGTGGCGGACGCTTGCCTGGTCGCTCGTGCTTTTCTCTCTCATGTCTCTCTGTCTGTCTGTCTGTCTCTTCTCTCTGTCGCACTTTTTCTCTCTTCTCTTCTTTCACTCTTTCGCTCTCTCATCTCTTCTTTCTCACTTTTTCCTCCTCCCTCTCTCTCATCTCTCACTCTCTCATTCTGTCACCCTGTCTCTGTCTGTCTGTCTCTCTCACTCACTCACTCTCTCTTCTCTCTCTCTCTCTCCTCTCTCTCTCTCTCTCTCTCTCTCTCTCTCTCTCTCCATCTCTCTCTCTCTCTCTCCTCTGTCTCTGTCTCCTGTCTCTGCTGTCTCTCTCTCTCTCCTCTCTCTCTCTCTCTCCCTCTCACATACTCTCTCCTCCCTCTTCTCCTCCTCCTCCTCTCCTCTCCCTACTCCCTCACTCCTTCCTCCTCTCCCTATATATAATATATATCTACATACATACTAATAAGCAATACTATCTCTTATCACCCCCGTATACCTATACACCTATTCATATACTCAGTATGTATGCATGAATCACTGTATGGTAGCGTGCGTCGTTCACTGCCCAACTCACTTTTTAAACATATAACACTCCGCAAGTCTACCACACATAACCACCACCACAATAAATACACATCTTCACAGAGGACCAAACTCTCCCCCACAAAAAAACGCAGAAAAAAAACCGAACAACATCTATAAACCAAAAAAACCCACTCCCGATCAACAACAACACCCCACCCCAGCAGCAGCCAACTATAACAGACACAACCAAAACCACCAACACCAACCAAACTTGACAAAAAAGCCGGAAACTTCCAACAACACCCCCCTCCCCCTCTCCACCCCGTCCACCCCCCACCCCCTCTCCCCTCACCCCCCCTCACTACCCTAGTAAGCAAAGGCCCGAGTGTGTGTTCCCAGCCACAGGTCACGTAACAGCTATCCCCGCCCAACCCAACCAAAATAAAAACCGTTTTTTGTGCCTTCGCCCGTTATTCCTCACCAAAACCCCCCTTCACCAACCACCCGCACGCACCCTTCTACACGGAAAACATAAGCCCTAACCCAAGCCACAGGCCTTGCCAGACACACATGTCGCAAATTCTCACCACCCCAACGTCACCACATACCCCCCTTTTTCCCCTTGTGTGAAGAAAAGGGACCGAGCGAAAAGGCCCCCAGGAGAGCACAAGCGGAGCCAGCGCCCCAGCAGAGAGGGCGGCACGGCGAGGCGACCAGCGCAGGAGCGCGGAGGGGAGCGCGAGGGAGACCGAGGAAGGAGGAGAGAGAGACAGCACCCAGAGAGAGAGAGAGCGACCGCGACGAAGACGAGACGAGACGACGACCACCACGAGCGACGGCACCCCAAGAGAACACCGACGACGCAGAAACGACCGAGCGAAGGAAGAGAGAGAGAGAGAGGAGAAGAGAGAGAGACAGAGAGAGAGAGAAAAGGAAAGAGAGACAGAGAGAGACAGGAGAACACCCTGAGAAACAAAAAGTTCCCACCCCTAGGACAGAGAGTGAAACGGGTGCGGAAATCTAACGCAGAGAGAGAGAGAGCCCAATCAAGTTACTCAGAATGAGTGAAAGGGTGAGAAATAAGGAGAAAAAAACAGAAGAGAAGAGAAAGAGATAGATAAGATAGAAATACGCAGAGACAGCCAAAACAAAACAAATATGTCGGACTAAGAATCAGCTGACGCAAGGGTGTTAGAAAATAAACGCAGAAAACAAGAAACGAATCTTACATAGCATAAGATAGAATAAGAGGAGACGAGAGAAGACACCAAAAAATCACACAAGACTGTCGAAAACTCTGAAAGGCGAGAATTAGACCCGATAAGTGAGCAGAAAGAGAACGACCGAGAGAGCAGAGAGAGAGAGAGAGAGCAGAGATCGAGAGAGAGAGAGACAAGAGAGACACACGCGAGAGATCGAAGAGAGCAGGAGCACGAGAAGAGACCGAGAAGAGAGAGAAGAGAGCAACGAAGAACAGACGAGAGAGATAGAGAGCAGAGAGAAGCGAGAGGGAGCAGAGCAGAACAGATCGTAAGATGAGAGAAAGAGCGACGAGAAAAGAGAGTGAATTTCCCTTCCTCCATTCAAACACAAATCAAAAACTGTCAGTCCCCCGTAGCACCTCACTTAAACATTGCCCCTCCCACTCTCTATACCTCACTATACACCACTCACCAGATACTCTCTCCAGTCCCACCAACCTCACCTATACAGCCCGTTCAGGCCACTCTCTCAACGCGCTCTCACACCTACTATACACCCCACCATACTCACCATCTCAAGATGCTCATACACCTCACTAAATACACACTGCACCATAACACTCTCCCCAAGTCTCTACAGCCTCACTCATACACCTCCGATCATAAACTCCTCCCAGTACTCCAACACCGCACTATTACACCCTCAGCCATCACTCTCCCAGTCTCTACACCTCCACCCTATACACCCCATCCATCACTCTCCCAATCTCTACACGCACATACACCATCCACCATCACTTCTCAGTCTCTACACCTCACAATACACCCTCATCATAACTCTACCACAAGTCTTTCCTTACCCAAAAACCAACCCGGACGCCCCCCCCCACTTACACCTCCACCCATACTCTCCCCAGTTCTCTACACCTCACTATACACCTCACCATACTTGTCCCACGTCTCTACACCCTCACTATACACCTCACCATACTCTCCCAGTCTCTACACCGCACTATACACCTCACCATACTCTCCCAGTCTCTACACCTCACTATACACCTCAGTCTCTATATACACCTCACCATACTCTCCCAGTCTCTACAACCACTCACAACTCTCCAGTCTCTACACCGCACTATACACCTCACCATACTCTCCCAGTCTCTACACCTCATATACACCTCCCATACTCTCCCAGTCTCTACCTCGATATACACCTCACCATACTCTCCCAGTCTCTGCACCTCGATATTACACCTCACCATACTCTCCCAGTCTCTACACCTCGACTATACACCCTCACCATACTCTCCCAGTCTCTACACCGCACTATACACCTCACCATACTCTCCCAGTCTCTACACCTCACTATACACCTCACCATACTCTCCCAGTCTCTACACCGCACTATACACCTCACCATACTCTCCCAGTCTCTACACCTCACTCTCACCATACTCTCCCAGTCTCTACACCGCACTATACACCTCACCATACTCTCCCAGTCTCTGCACCTCGATATACACCTCACCATACTCTCCCAGTCTCTGCACCTCGATATACACCTCACCATACTCTCCCAGTCTCTGCACCTCGATATACACCTCACCATACTTCAATTCGCGTTGAAGTGTACACCCGCGAACCAGAGTCAGCCGACAGTCGAAGCAAGGCGTTCGTATCTAAACATTTACAAGTACTTAACATTAAACTATTTACGCTCTCGTACGTGGTCGGTGCCTCGCTTCCTAAACATCTTCTCGGGTT